CCTATAGAACATGCCATTAAATTGTCCGACCTGAGTGCTAGGGAGCTGGGCTATTTATCCCCCAGCCGCAGAAAGTTATCCACCAGTGCTGAGAGGATTTGGGTGGAGTCCAGCAGTATTTGCTGTGACAGCGCCGGCCCTTCCCAGGCACCCCGTGGTGCCTGGGGTGCCACACCTCTGATGAGGACCTGGCTGACTCCAGCAGGAAGAGAGTTACCGTGGCTCAGGTGAACCAGCGCATGAGGTCAGAGGCTCTGACAAGGGAGTGGCTTCCCTGTTCCTGCTTCTGCCTGAGATCCAGGGCTGTCTGCAGAAAGGTGCCTCTTTGGGCATATGAGGATCTCTGGGGCCAGAGAGGTCGTTTTCTTCGGGTCTCCTTTTAAGGATGAGTTGTATCATCACCAGAGCTGTTGTGTACTGAGCACCTGCTGTATACATTCTCCAGGCCTCTTTGCTTCCTTGTGTCCTTTGGGATGGAGTTGGTGGGGGGGTCCACTCTATCCCCTTGGGATGGGGGACAAACCGTGTCCCTCTTTATACTTTCCAGCCACTTTCCTGCATTTGTGCAGAAGCTATGCAGCCTACCTCTGCAGGCTCCTTCCTTACCCCAGTCTCTGTTGTATGTAAGGTGCTTTTTTGGCAGGGGACAGGGTCTCACTCTGCTGCCCAGGCTGGAGTGCAGTGGTACAGTCATGGCTCACTGCAGCCGCACGCTCCCTGTCTCAAGCGATCCTCCCACCTCCGCCTCCCTGGTAGTTGGGACGACAGGCAGGTGCCACCAGGACCAGCTAATCGTTCCTGTATTCTGTGTAGAGACAGGGTTTAACCGTGTTGCCCAGGCTGGCCTCCAGATCCTGAGGTCAAACAGTCCACTGCCTTGACCTCCCATAGTGCCGGGATTATAGGCATGAGCCACCGTGCCCAACTCCAGTCTCTTTAAATAATGAATAATAATAGTGTTGTGAGGACAGTGCTGATGGAGGTGTTGACCGTTATGCGATCTCATTTAATCTTCACAAAAGCATGTGAAATACCCACCCTTCCTTTTTCTTTTGACGGAATCCCACTCTGTCTCCAAGATCTTGGCTCACTGCAACCTCCGCTTCCGGGGTTCAAGCGATTCTTCTGCCTCTGCCTCCCAAGTAGCTGGGACTACAGGCACCTGCCACCCACCCGGCTCATTTTTGTGTGTGTGTATTTTTAGTAGAAGCAAGGTTTCACCGTGTTAGCCAGGATGGTCTCGATCTCCTGACCTTGTGACCCGCCCGCCTCAGCCTCCCAAAGTGCTGGGATTACAAGCGTGAGCCACCATGCCCATCTGCTTCCATTTTATGGATGAGGAAGCTGAGGCTCAGAGAGGTCGAGTGAGTTGCCCAAGGTCACACAGCTAGTACAGGTGGAGACAGCTGTCTCCGGAAGTCCCTGTTCTGAATGGTCGTATGGAGGGACACAGACAGAGGAGACTTGGGGCCCCCAGCTGCCACTCCTACATGTCACGCGCTGACCGCAGTGTCCTCTGAACCCCTAACTGGTGATTATGCTGGGTAAAATTGGGATCTGGGAGAAGTGAAGGCAGGTGGTGTTTACTGAATTTAGGAGATTGTAGAGTGTTTTTCTCAAACAAGGCCAGGTAAGTCATCTTCAGGGGAGGAGCCCACAAGGACTCATTTGGGAACCGATCCCTGTGTGTGCAGGTCGCTATGCTAAGAGCTGGTGACAGGGCAGGCTGACTCAGTGGAAGGCTCCCTCTCGGACTCAAAGGCACATTTTAGAGCTTCATTGCTGAAGGCTGAAAAGCACAGCGTAGGTCCTTCTGGGTATCTTACAGAGATGAACGTAAAGGGCACTGCGAACCAGCAAGTAGACCCTCCCCACATGTGCACACGTGCACCTTGTGGATTACATGTCCCCTTACAGCCTGGCCCCTGGGTTGGCCACTGGAATTGCCATTCCTTTTTAGACTTAGATTTGGGAGGCAGGGTGTCAGCCTGGAGTGGGGGTGAGTACATGAAAGCCTTAAGTTCTGTCCTATGTTGAGTTCCCTAGAAGGAGAGCTGGAGACAGGAATTCTATGAAAGTGATTGATTTAGCTGGGCACGGTGGCTCACACCTGTAATCCCAGCACTTCAGGAGGCTAAGATGGTTGGATCACGAGGCTAGGAGTTCGAGACAAGCCTGACCATTACGATGAAACCCTGTCTGTACTAAATCTACAAAAATTAGCCAGGCATGGTGGCACTTGCCAGTAATCCCAACTACTCAGGAGACTGAGGCAGGAGAATCGCTTGAACCCAGGAGGCGGAGGTTGCAGTGAACAGAGATCTCACCACTGCACTCCAGCCTGGGCGACAGAGCGAGACTAAAAAAAAAAAAAAAAAAGTAATTGATTGGAGCTGTGACTCATGAATCCCCGAGAGAGGGAGGCGGGGTAGGGCAGGGGAGGGGACGTTTGGCTTGGGCAGCCCAATCCCCTGATTGGCACTCTGAAGCCACAGAGTAAGTCCTGCCTTGGGGCAAGGGTAAGTAGCTCCTTGTGTCCCTTGAAAGCCAGTCATTGGCTGTGGGAAGAGGGATTTACCAGGAGGGGTGGAGATTGTGGGCCAGCTTGTTGGAGGACATCCCTGCTGGAAAAGGGTGTAACCATGAACTGTGAGCAGAAAACCTTCAAAGCAGCTGGGGGATGGGTACAGCAGCAGGAAAGGGGATTTGGGGGAGGGGCAGATCCAACAGCATCTCCCTTACGTTGCAGTGCTGGATTCATCCCTCATTGGCTGTGTGACCTCAGGCCAGCCTCTCAGGGTCCGAATTTTACCTTCTGTACGCCAGGGTCCTGCAGAGAGCCACTATGGGCTCTACCCCATTCTTACCCTCCATGCAGTGACTTACTGATATACTTCAGCAGATGTTTATTATGTACCTAACACATGTCAGGTACCTTGCAAGGCTCTACACAACCGAAACAGACATATCAGCAGGCATAACACAGTGGGGTTGGTGTCACAAAGAAACAGAGAGTTATGGTTACCAAAGTCTACCTGGGCTGGTGGCAGGGGTCTGGGAAGGCTTCCTGGAAGAAGAGGTATCTAATTAGGGACCCATGCGCATTAGCAGTCGTTGGTACTGATGTCGCTCAGGAAAAAGAGAAGGCGACTGGCCGCTTTCTGTGGGTCTCTTTCCCATCCCAGGATGGAATTCTTCCAGATCTTGACTTCTCCCATGTCTTGCTTGAGAGAGGAAATTGCTGGTATGAAAAACAGTCACAACGAAACTGACTGCGATGTCTGGGATGATAAACTAGGAGCTGGGAGGGAAAGGGTGCTGGTGGGGGTTGTCGGTGTTGAGAATCATGGCTTGTGGGAGACAGAGCGTGAGTCTGGTGGCGCTGGTGCCGATGGTGGGGTAGGAGATGAGGTCTCAGTGGTGGACCAGCGCACATAACCCAAGGCCGTGGTGAGGCGTGTGGACTTCATTTTGTGAGCACCTGGAAGCCACGGGAAGTTGTGGGTTGGCCTTAAGCATAATGTACATACAGGAAGGTATACACATTTACATATGTATACAACATGTAATCACCCATAATGTACATACAGGAAGGTACACACATTTTAGATGTCAACGAGACACACGTTTACATGTTAACATCTGTATACAACATGTAATCACCCATATCAAGATACAGAACATTCCCAGGTCCCCAGAGAGGGTCTTTATACCCCTTCCTAGTCACAGTCCCCAAAGGTAATTGCTGTTCTACCTTCTGTCACCCTACCTCATAAAAATTTTGCCTGAATTTCATATACATGTCATTTTACAGAACACTTTAGAATCCTGCTTGTTTTGCAAACCTTAATGCCTGTGGTATTTATCCATGTTTTCCCCTTATTTGTTTTAAATTTTTTTATTTTTTTGAGATGGACTCTCACTGTCGCCAGGCTGGAGTGCAGTGGCATGATCTCGGCTCACTGCAACCTCCACCTTCTGGGTTCAAGTGATTCTCTTGCCTCAGCCTCCTGAGTAGCTGGGAGTACAGGTGTGAGCCACCACACCCAGCTAATTTTTGTATTTTTAGTAAAGATGGGGTTTCATCCTGTTGACCGGGATAGTCTTGATCTTTTGACCTCATGATCTGCCCACCTTGTCCTCCCAAAGTGCTGGGATTACAGGCGTGAGCCTGGCCTATCCGTGTTTTTTTCTTCTTGCCGTACAAATATTTTTTACTTACAATGGGGATACATCCTGATAAACCCATCATTAGTCAAAAATACTGTAATTCAAAGTTGCATTTAGGTTAGGTGTGGTGGCACATGCTTGTAATCTGAGCACTTTGTGGGGCTGAGGCAGAAGGATGGCCTGGGCCCAGGAGTTTTAGACTAGCCTGAGCAACATGGTGAAAACTATCTCTCCAAAAACAGAACATAAAACCCAACAACAAAAAATTAGATGGGCGCGGCAGTGTGGGCCTGTAGACCTAGCTACTTGGGAGGCTGAGGTGGGAGGATCACTTGAGCCGGGAGGGCAGGCTGCATTGAGCCATGATTGCACCAGTGCACTCCAGCCTGGGTGACAAAGTAAGACCCTGTCTCAAAAACAAAAGAAATTGGCTGGGTGCAGCGGTTCATGCTTCCCAGCACTTTGGGAGGTCGAGGCAGGTAGATCATGAGGTCAGGAGATCGAGACCATACTGGCCAATGTGGTGAAACGCTGTCTCTACTAAAAATACAAAAAATTAGCTAGGTGTGCTGAGACGTGCCTGTAACCCCAACCACTTGGGAGGCTGAGGCAGGAGAACCGTTTGAACACGGGAGACGGAGATTGCAGTGAGCTGAGATCGTGCCACGGCACTCCAGCCTGGCGACAGAGCAAAACCCTGGTGACAGAGCATCAAAACAAACAAAAACAAAAGGAATTGCATTGAATACTCTGATAAATGTATCACTTATTGTAAAGTTTAAAAACTGTAAATGGAACCATCACAAATGAAACCATCCTATGTTGGAGACTATTTTTGCAGTTTGTGTATTGCTGTATTGTATGCTATTAGGTGAATATGCCACAATTTATGTATCAAGTGTAGTGCTGATGGACATCTGATGGTTTCCAGGTTCTGACTATTGAGGAGGAAGCTATTGCAAACATTTACATATAAGTCTTTCATTTCCATTGAGTAGATACCTAGGAGTAGAATTGCCAGGTCTTAAGTTAGGAGTAGAGATTCAGCTTTTTTTTTTTTTTTTTTTAAGACGGAGTCTCTCTCTGTCGCCCAGGCTGGAATGCAGCGGTGCTCTCTCAACTCACTGCAACCTCTGCTTCCTGGGTTCAAGCGATTCTCCTGCCTCAGCCTCCCGAGTAGCTGGGATTACAGGTGCGTGCCATCACGCTTGGCTAATTTTTGTATTTTTAGTAGAGACGGGGTTTCACCATCTTTGTCAGGCTGGTCTCAAACTCCTGACCTCGTGATCCACCTGCCTCAGCCTCCCAAAGTGCTGGGATTACAGGCATAAGCTACCACACCCAGCCAAGATTCAGCTTTAATTGTCCTGCCAGTCTTCCAAAATGTTCGTGCCAACTTGAAAGCAGCTTTAGTTCCACATTCTTGTCACCACTTGGTAATGCCAGTCTGTAATTTTAGCCATTGTGGAAGATGTGGAGTAGTATAGTATTTTATAATCTATATAGTGTATAGTGCACACACACACACACACACACACACACACACACACACACAGAGAACGCACGCACATTAGGGTCTTGCTGTGTCACCCAGGCTGGAGTGCACTGGCGCAATCATGGCTTACTGCAGGCTTGACCTTCTGGGTTCAATCCACCCACCTCAGCCTCCTGGGTCGCTGAGACTACAAGCATGCACCACTATGCCTGGCTAACTTTTTAATTTTTTGCAAAGACAGGGTCTCACCATATTGCTTAGAATCGTCTCAAACTCCTGGCTCAAGTGATCCGCCCTCCTCAGCCTCCCAAAGTGCTGGGATTGTAGGCATGAGCCACTGCACCTGGCCTTGAGTAGTGTGGTATCTCAACTGTATTTGCTTTGTTTTTTTAATGTAGCTTTTGTGTTGTGTTGTTTTGTTTGAGACAATTCTGGCCCAGGCTGGAGTGCAGTGGCACAATCTTGGCTTACTGCAACCTCTGCCTCCCGGGTTCAAGTGATTTTCATGCCTCAGCCTACCAAGTAGCTGGGATTACAGGTGCACGGCACTATGCCTGGATAATTTTTGTACATTTAGTAAAGCTGAGGTTTCACCATGTTGGCCAGCCTGGTCTGGAACTCCTGGCCTCAAGTGATCTGCCTGCCTTGGCCTCCCGAAGTGCTGGGATTACAGGCATGAGCCCCACCGCACCTGGTCTTTTATTTTTATTTATTTATTTTTTTGAGTAGAGGCAGGTTCTTGCCCTGTTTCCCGGGCTGGTCATGAACTGGCCTCACGCAATTCTCCTGCCTTGGCATACCAAAGTTTTGTGATTATAGGCATGAGCCACTGCCCTAACCCTCATTGTATTTTGTGTTTTTCCAATGACCAATGAAGTTGAGCTTCTTTTTCTTTTTCTTTTTTTTTTGAGACGGAGTTTCGCTCTTGTTACCCAGGCTGGAGTGCAATGGCGCGATCTCGGCTCACCGCAACCTCCGCCTCCCGGGTTCAGGCAATTCTCCTGCCTCAGCCTCCCGAGTAGCTGGGATTACAGGCACACGCCTCCATGTCCAGCTAATTTTTTGTATTTTTAGTAGAGATGGGGTTTCACCATGTTGACCAGCATGGTCTCGATCTCTTGACCTCGTGGTCCACCTGCCTCGGCCTCCCAAAGTGCTGGGATTACAGGCATGAGCCACCGCGCCTGGCCTGAGCTTCTTTTTCATGTGCTTATTGGTCACGTGGAGATTTTTTTTCTCTCTCTTTCTCTCTCTTTCTGTGTGTGTGTGTGTGTGTGTGTGTGTGTGTGTGCGTGTGTGTAGTGCCCATTTGAGTCTTTTGTGCTTAAAAGAAAAAAAACTGAATTGTCTTTTTTTCTTACTGACTTGTAGTTCTTTATATTTCTGAATAGAGTGCTTTGTGAAATATGTATGTATGTGTATGTAGGTGTGTATATACATGTATATACATGTATGTGTGTGTACATATATGTATCTATGTCTATGTATTTATATATACTTTTTTTTTTTTTTGAGATGGAGTCTCACTCTCGCCCAGGCTAGAGTGCAGTGGTGCCATCTCAGCTCACCACAACCTCTGCCTCCGATGTTCAAGCAATTCTTCTGCCTCAGCCTCCCAAGTAGCTGGGACTACAGGCGTGTGCCACTATGCCCGGCTAGTTTTTTTTTTTTGTATTTTTAGTAAAGACGGGGTTTCACCATGTTAGCCAGGATGGTCTCGATCTCTTGACCTTGTGATCTGCTCGCCTCGGCCTCCCAAAGTACTGGGATTACAGGCGTGAGCCACCGCACCCGGCATATATACGTATTTTTAATCCCAGTCTGTGACTTGGTTATGTCATTCTTCATGATGTCTTCTAATGAACAGAAGTTTTACTTAAGATCAATCTATTCCGTGTTTTCCTGTAGAAATGTTGTGAAGATTTTCACTGAAAAATTTTTGTGTAGGGGATGAAATGTTTGCAGTCGCATTTTGGAAAGTTGATGCCTGCCCCAGTGAGGATGTGGCCATGAGGGAGGCTGATGGAGTCCTCCAAGCAGGAGAAGGTGGTGGTCTGGACTGGGGCGAGGGGAGATTGGCCCAGGGAGTAGACGGAGGGAAGTGGAGGATGTGGAGAGGTATTCAGAGGCAGACTGATAGGATTAGAGTGGGGCATGATCTCTTAGAATCCTTCAGGGCACTTTCTATTTTAAAAAATGCTAACTCATGAGTCCCTGGAGCAGACCATCCTGCCAGGCCTGCCCAGCCTGTCTCCCACACCTGGCAGGCCTGAGCGGCTGTTGGTTTTCACACCTGCTGTGTGGTCCTGTTGGCCCGTAACACAGGATTCCTGTAGCTGGGAAAACCTGCATTTATAGCATCCTTGGACTAAAGCAATTTTTACATTATGTAAATAAGTATATATTTTTATGTTATATAAATATACAATATAAAATCTATAATCATATATAAGTGTATGCATTTATATACATATACAGACATACATACAGATATATACACACACATATTGCATCATGAATCAGGAACTCTAAGTTCTAGTGGTAATTCTGACTGGCAAGTGTCCCACCTCTGGTTAGGAAAAACACTTCTCTCTCCTATTTCCCATTGTCCTGCCCTAAAAAAACAGGCAGACTTGCCTTATTTTTGGAGTTAGCATTTGTCATGGAGGTGCTATGGTTTAATGGTCCAGGAAGAAAACCACTTTGGAGTTTTTGCTCCTGGTAACCATTGGTAACCAGTGGTTAGGGGAAGCTAAGCGTGTTCAGCTGTTTTAGGTGGGGCTCCCCCAGAAGCAGGCCCAGAGACAAGGATGGAAACATGAATAGCTTTTTGGGGAGCTGACCCCAGCAGCATTGTTGCACGAGAGTGGAAAGTGAGACAGGGAAACTAAGAGGCCGTATGGGGTGTGTGATGTAAATCAGACACCTCAGGCGTCTTCCCCAGAGGCGGGAGGGAGCTGGGGTGTTGATATGCCAACTTCCTTCGTCTTTGGTGGAGGGCTGCTCTGGGGCATTCATTGGTTCCATTTATGTCCTGAGCTGCTCCCACGGCCAAAAACCAAGCCTATAGCTAGAAAAACGGCAGATGTCCCCGGACCATCTTCTGCTTCTAGAAGTAAAGACCGCAATGTTCTTAGCTTACCATCTGCATCTAGAGGTGAACGCTGAGGGCAAAGGGCTGGGCACCAGTGGTGGCTGCTGAACCCTCCTTGAGAAACATTTGGATGCTGTGACATTTGTATATTTGGAAATTTAGTCCGTTGAACTTTATGTTTTAACTTCATGGTCTTTTTTTTTTTTTTAGACAAGGTCTCACTCTGTAACCCAGGCTGGAGTACAGTGAGGCCATCTCAGCTCACTGCAACTGCCCCTTCTGGGGATCAAGTGATTCTCCAGCCTCAGCCTCCCAAGCAGCTGGGACTGCAGGCACAAGCCTCCCACACCCAGCTAATTTTTGTAGAGATGGGGTTTTGCCATGTTGCCCAGGGTGGTCTCGAACTCCTGAGCTCAAAGTGATTCACCCGCCTCGGCCTCCCAAAGTGCTGGGGTTACAGGCCTGAGCCAGTGTGCCCGGCCTCTTTGGCATTTTTTAAAAAAACTTTCTTTTCCCTTCTTACTACAAACACATTCATTTATCAGAAGGCAACACAGCAAAGGAATCAAGAGAGCGGGCTTCATGGTCTTAGTGTCTCTGAGCCTCAATTTCCCCATCCGTAAGATGGGAGTAAAATACCACCTGCCTCCGAGGTTGCTGGGATAAATCATTTTTTTGTCTGTGAAGCATTTCACATAGAAACTGGCTACACATCCAAATACAAATACTTCTCTTGTTACCGTTACATAAAACTTATAACTACACAAAAAAGATTAAAATCAGCCATAGCCTTACCTTTTTTCACTTGGAGATAATTTTTGTAAACATTTTCACACGTGTTCCTGTAAGTCTTTCTCTCAGCATCCATACATTCAAATTTATATACCCATCCTTCTGCCTCTATATAAAATGGAAAATAGGATTTTTTTTTTGAGACAGGGTTTCACTCTGTTGTTCAAGCTGTTTTGCAGTGGTTTTATTGTAGATCACTGTAGCCTTGAACTCCTGGGCTCCAGTGATCCTCCCACCTGAGCTTCATGAGTAGCTGGGTCTGCAGGTGCACACCAGCACGCCAGGCTAATTGTTGTGTTTTTTGTAGAGATGGTGGGGGGGGTCTCCCTATGTTGCCCAAGCTGGTCTTGAACTCCTGGCCTTAAGTGAGGCCTTGGCCTCCGGAAGCACTGGGATGACAGGTATGAGCCACCATGCCCAAAAATGGGCTTTTCCTGTTCATATTGTACCTCTAAATGTGTTAAATTTAACTGTTATTTATTTGGCTAGCTAATACGTTCGATTCAGAGTGAAAAGATGCCAAAGTGTGGACACTAAAAATTCTCTCTACCATCCCTGTTCCTCCATCTGCCCACTTCCCTGCCCTTCAGGAAACACACTTAAAACTTAGTTTTAATTTATTTTACTTCCCCCCAAACTCTTTGTAACTGCTTTTAGCTGAAAGCGTAGAAGATTTGATTGTACTCATTATGACTCATTAACTGTCAATCTGTGTATCCTGAATGAATTCCATACAGGTGACAAAGGTTACCTTAGAAATTGAAAGGTTGGCCGGGCACCGTGACTCACCCCTGTCATCCCAGCACTTTGGGAGGCCTAGGCGGGCAGATCACCTGAGGTTGGAAGTTTGAGACCAGCCTGACCAACATGGAGAAACCCCATCTCTACTAAAAAAAATTAGCTGGGCTTGGTGGCGCGTGCCTGTGATCTCAGCTACTTGGGAGGCTGAGGCAGGAGAATTGCTTGAACCCAGGAGGCAGAGGTTGCAGTGGAGATAGAGATTTTCCTAGTTCCTGTATGTTGGTTAACAAGGGAGATGGATTTGGGGGTGGAGGGGGCCATGGTGGATCATGCAAACTCACTGCACTCCCCAGTCTAAACCACAAGGGCTCTGTTCGTGTAATAATAACTCACTTGATTCCTTGGATCCTTTGCTAAGCAGAGCCCTTCATTAACCCAAGACCTCTACTTTACATATTTCGTCCTAGTGCGTCCAGCATTTAAGGCAGAGGGACAAAGATGTCAAAATAAACTCTTCTCAGTGGTGCCAGAGGTCATACATAGCTCCTTCCAGTGGGGAGGCGGGGTGGGCGGGGTAATTCGTGGTTAAATTAAATAAGGTGGCCGGGCGTGGTGGCGTGTGCCTGTAGTCCCAGCACCTTGGGAGGCTGAGCTGGGCGGATCACAAGGTCAAGAGATCAAGACCATCCTGGCCAACATGGTAAAACCCCGTCTCTACTAAAAACACAAAAATTAGCTGGGCGTGGTGGCGTGTGCCTGTAGTCCCAGCTACTTGGGAGGCTGAGGCAGGAGAATTGCTTGAAACTGGGAGGCGGAGGTTGCAGTGAGCCAAGATCCTGCCACTGCACTCCAGCCTGGCATCTGGCAACAGAGCAAGACTCTGTCTCAAATTAAAAAAAAAAAAAAAATGAAATAAGGTTGGGTCTGGGGTTGGACCATCAGCCCCGTGTCTTCCTGTGTTGAGAAGGCAGAGAATGCAGCTTAGAAGATCTAAGTTTTGAGTGCCAGCTCTGCCTTTTCCCACCCAAGTGACTTCCTCTCTCTGAGCCTCAGTTTCACATCTGTACAATGGGGTTCTACAGTGCTGTCCGGGAGAACTTTGCATGCTCTCCGGTGGGGTACCTAGCCTCGTGTGCCTGTGGCGTGCTTGAAATGACACCTGTGCAACTGGAGCACTGAACTGCCAATTTTAAGAGTTTCTTTTCTTTTTTTGAGATGAGGTTTCACTCTTGTTGTCCAGGCTGAAGTGCAATGGCAGGATCTCAGCTCACCGCAACCTCTGCCCGCCGCCCCCCGCCTCCGGTTCAAGTGATTCTCCTGCCTCAGCCTCTGGAGTAGCTGGGACTATAGGCGTGCGCTACCATGCCCAACTAATTTTTGTACTTTGGTAGAGATGGGGTTTCACCATGTTGACCAGGATGGTCTCAGTCTCTTGACCTCGTGATTCGCCTGCCTCGGCCTCCCAAAATGCTGGGATTACAGATGTGAGCCACCACGTCCACCCTTTTATTAAAAATTTTATTTTATTTTTATTTTTATTTATTTATTTCTTTATTTGTTTATTCATTTTTCCTGAGGCACAGTGTCCCTCTGTCACCCAGGCTGGATGGAGTGCAATGGCATGATCTTGGCTCACTGCAAACTCCGCCTCCCAGGTTCAAGTGATTCTCCTGCCTCAGCCTCCCAAGTAGCTGGGACTGCAGGTGTCTGCCACCATGCCTGGCTAGTTTTTTGTATTTTTACTAGAGATAGGGTTTCACCATGTTGGCCAGACTGGTCTCAAACTCCTGACCTCAGGTGATCCACACACCTCGACCTCTCAGTGCTGGGATTACAGGCGTGAGCCACTGCGCCTGGCCTTTATGTCATTTTAAATGAACTGATACTTAAATTTTAGTAACTATATGGGAAGTACAGTACCAGGACCTACCTCCCAGGATTTGATGCTGTTAAATGCTTAACAATTAGCAATGGGAGCATTGAGGAAAGAACTTCATGAGCTGTGGGCTTCAGGGTTATTCAGGTGGCCATTCGGCTCAATACTGCCTCCTTCGGGAAGCCCTCCCCTTGTATCCCCAGCCAAGTTAAGCTCTGCACGAGTTTCCTATGGTGCTGTAACAGATTCTTACAATTTAGTAGTTTAAACAAATTTCTTACTTTACAGCTGTGGCGATCGAAATGAGTGTGTCCCTTCCGAGGCTCTTGGGGATAATCCAATCCTTGCCTTTTCTGGCTTCTGGAGGCTGTGTCATTCCTTGGATTTCGGCCTCACATCACTGTTTCTGTCTTCGCATTCTCTCTGACTCTGCCTTTCTTGCCTTTCTCTTATAAGGACCCTTGTGGTGACACTGGGCTCAGGGGATCCAAGATAATCTTCCTGTCTCAAGAGCCTTAACTTAATCACATCTGCAAAGTCCCTTTTGCTATGAAGGCAGTGTATCTGTGGGTTTTGGGGATTAGGACCCAGACGTCTTTAGGAGGCATTAATTCTGTTTACTGCAATCTCTTCTTCCTGTGGGTTTCAGTCATGCCTCTGAGCCCCACACTGCCGCGGTCACCATCTGTGGCCATGCCTGCCTCCTGCACCAGACCATGCCTCAAGGACAAGGATGTTCTGCCCCCAAAACTTGCCAGAATACCTGCTCTGAGCTGGGTGGGACCTGTGGTACCCTGGAGTTAGAAGGTCTGCTAGTGTTGAGGGAGGAGGCGGGACTCGACTCTGGAGGTGGGGCTCAGACTCTGGACCAGACTGAAACAGGGAAGAGGCGAAAGCCCCTCTCCATAAGACATGTCCACGAGTGCCATGTCCGTTTATTGTTACCATAGCAACACACAGTTGTTATGGCCCCTTTCCATGGCAACTACCTGATGACCCGGAAGTTAACATTCCTTTTCCAGAAATTTCTGCATAATTTCCCCCTTGACTTGCATGTAATTAAAAGTGGGTATAAACATGACTGCAGAACTGCCTCTGAGCTGCCACTCTGGGCACACTGCCTATGGGGTAGCCCTGCTCTGCTGCTGTACCCTGCCGCTTCGAGAAGCTGCTGTTGGCCGGGCGCGGTGGCTCACGCCTGTAATCCCAGCACTTTGGGAGGCCGAGGCGGGTGGATCATCTGAGGTCAGGAGTTTGAACCAGCCTGGTCAACATGGTGAAACCCCATCTCTACTAAAATTACAAAAATTAGCCAGGCGTGGTGGCAGGTGCCTGTATCCCAGCTACTTGGGAGGCTGAGGCAGGAGAATATCTTGAACCCGGGAGGTGGAGGTTGCAGTGAGCTGGGATTGCACCACTGCACTCCAGCCTAGGAGACAGTGTGAGACTCCATCTCAAAAAAAAAAAAGAAAAAGTAACACCATTGGCTCACCAATTCTTTCCTGGGCAAAGTCAGGAACCTCCCAGGCCAAACCCCAATTTTGGGGCTTGTCTGCCCTGCCTTAGCTCACTACGTGGTTGGCCACTCTAAACCACTTTGCCTTTCCAAACCTCAATTTATCACCCTGTAAAATGGGGTTAATAATAGTATCAACCCGGGCCGGGCGCGGTGGCTCAAGCCTGTAATCCCAGCACTTTGGGAGGCCGAGGCGGGTGGACCACGAGGTCAAGAGATCGAGACCATCCTGGTCAACATGGTGAAACCCCGTCTCTACTAAAAATACAAAACATTAGCTGGTCATGGTGGCGCGTGCCTGTAATCCCAGCTACTCAGGAGGCCGAGGCAGGAGAATTGCCTGAACCCAGGAGGCGGAGGTTGCGGTGAGCCGAGATCGCGCCATTGCACTCCAGCCTGGGTAACAAGAGTGAAACTCCATCTCAAAAACATAAAAATAAAAATAATAGTATCAACCCCAGAAGGGTCATTGAGGGTATTAACAGACATGCATGTAGGGCCTTTGGTATGTCACCGGCACTGGGGTAGCCCTTAATAACACAGCAACTATTGATGCTTCGAAGATGAACAGGATGGGATTTAGATCGAGGCCACCTGCGTTCAAATCCTGGCTCCACCACATGGGCCACTGGCTACACCTCCCTTGTCCTTATTCATGAAATGGGCCTCATCATGAGACCCAGCCTCAGAGGGTGGGTTAAATGGGGAGATTCATTTAATGTGCTGTCTGGCACAAAATCAGTGTTAAATGATTTAAGGATGATAATGACTAATACCAGACTTTCCCAGGGCCCGGCACTTATAGACCTAAGGACAGCGCAGCCCAGTAAACTTGGAATGGTTCATTGAGTTCCCTTTTTGTGGTTAGGGCAAGCATGTCTCTTCAGCTAGATGGAGGCCCAGGAATGGGCCTGTTGTCATGCCCGAGGCTGGCAATGCCAGGCCCTGATGGGTTCATGGAGCCTTGGACTTCGGTGTCGGAGGAGGAGGAGCCAGATGGTTGCCTGAAGGATGTGGGAGGCTCAGAGATCCTCCTGGGGAAACAAGGAGAGGACCTGTCAGCTGTCACTTTGTCACTTTGGGTTTATTGGTATAGATGGCATGGAAACGGAAATAGGAGGGGAGGGTGCTGTGTGCTGCAGACAGAGGTGGACCCAAGACACAGCACCAGGACGTGGGCTCCGTCTCAGCCGCCCTTCAGGCTTTTCTTGCTTCCTGGCTTAAGGGGACGTTGTTTGGTGTTTGTATTTCTTGGCACCCTCCCTTCCCCAGCTTTTTTTTTTTTTTTGAGACAGAGTCTCACTCTGTCACCCAGGCTGGAGTGCAGTGGTGCAATGTCACCTCACTGCAACCTCTGCCTCTCAGTTTCAAGTGATTCTCTGTCTCAGCCTCCCAAGTAGCTGGGATTACAGGCACCTGCTACCACGATTGGCTAATTTTTTGTATTTTTAGTAGAGATGGGGTTTCGCCATGTTGGTCAGGCTGGTCTCGAACTCCTGATGTCAGGTGATCTTCCTACCTCGGCCTCCCAAAGTGCTGCAATTATACAGGTATGAGCCACCTCACCCGGGCCCCTTCCCCACTTTTAATGAAGACCTGTACAGGTGACAGACTTGTATGGATCCCAGGCCAGACTTATCCAGTTGAACAACATCCACTTAGCAAATTGTCCCTCATCACCCCCTCCCTAGCTGTGAAATGACACGATTCAACAGTGGATAAAGTCAGACTTCTGGGTTGGGTGTGGTGGCTTATGTCTGTAATCCCAGCACTTTGGGAGGCCCAGGCAGGCGGATCATGAGGTCAGGAGTTTGAGACCAGCCTGGCCAACATGGCAAAACCTTGTCTCTACTAAAAATATAAAAATTTTTATATTTTTTTTTGTGTGGTGGCACGCGCCTGTAGTCCCAACTACTCCGGAGGCTGAGGCAGGAGAATCGCTTGAACCAGGGAGGCGGAGGTTGCGGTGAGTCAAGATTGTGCCACTGCACTCCAGCCTAGGTGACAGAGTGAGATTCTGTCTTAAAAAAAAAAAAAAAAAAGGTGGATTCCCTTGAATTACTGTCTCTCCCAGATTGTTTCGTTAGAAAGCTACTGCTTCGGATCTTAAACGTTTAGACAGTTCCCCTCTTCCTACACCCCTGCAATTTCATCAACTCACAAATATATCTTCGAGTCTTCATATTCTGTTTGCACATTCATTGCGCATTTGTAGAGACCTATTATGTACCGAGCCTGCTGGTAGATGTTTTTCATGCACTATCTTCTTTAATCCTCAGATTTGAGGTAGGTGTCTTTGATCTCACTCATAAAGAAACTGGTTTTTGCGAGGTGAAGTGGCTCCGTTAAAGGTATCACAGCCACTATGTGCACAGAAGACATCTGCTCGCTGAATCCATTTGCACCAAACTCCCTGTGTCCATTAGGATTATTTTTGCCTGCATATAATAGAAACCTAAAGTAACAATGGCTTAAGTGGGTAGAGTTTATTGTTTTTCACATAAAAAATTGAGAAGAGAGCAGTTCAGAGTTATGTCAGTGGTTTAACCATAATATATCAGGTTATTTTAAATGGGCTTGTGGTCTCTTGGTCCCAAGATGGTTGCCATGACTCCACGCTTCATATCCTTGTTCCAGGTAGGAAGGAGAGGAAGTACCACAAGCTGCATCTGCCTGGATTTTTTTTTTTTTTTTGAGACAGTTTCACTCTGTTGCCAGACCGGAGTGCAGTGGCGTGATCTCAGGTCACCACAACCTCCGCCTCCTGGGTTCAAGCAATTCTCCTGCCTCAGCCTCCTGAGTAGCTGGGACTATGGGTGTCTGCCACCACACCTGGGTAAATTTGTATTTTTGGTAGAGACAAGGTTTCACCATGTTGGCCAGGCTGTTGTTAACGAGCAGCTGACTTTAGGCGATCTGTCCACCTTGGCCTCCCAAAGTGCTGGGATTATAGGCGTGGGCCACTGTGCCCAGCTCACATCTAACTTTTAATAGCAAAGCAAGGCCGGGTGTGGTGGCTCACACCTGTAATCCCAGCACTTTGGGAGGCTGAGGCGGGTGGATCACGAGGTCAAGAGATCAAGACCATCCTGGCCAAAATAGTGAAACCCCGTCTCTACTAAAATATAAAAAATTAGCTGGGCGTGGTGGCACGTGTCTGTAGTCCCAGCTGCTTGGGAGGCTGAGGCAGGAGAACTGCTTGAACCCGGGAGGCGGAGGTTGCAATGAACGTAGGTCGCGCCACTGTACTCCAGCCTGGCGCCTGGTGACAGAACGAGACGCTGCCTCAAAAAAAATAAATAAATAAATAGCAAAGCAAAAACCTCCCCAGAAGTCTTCCCCATTTTCCCTGAAGGTTTTAAATATGTTTTTTAAATCAAAATTGGGTCACATGGCCACTTTTAGCTGCAAAGGAAGCTGAAAAAAGCAAGTCTCTGGCTTGTTAGTTTTAAGGAGGGAAGCTGTCAGAGAGCGTGCATCTGTACCGTTGACGCCAATATCATGTTCTTTCCACTTTCCTGGTGATTTCCCTGTTCAGATTAAAGAAACAAAAACCCCATGAGTCACTACCGTGTCTACTTAACCCCTGTACTGTTGTGCTTTATTTTTAAACGTTTCCTTTTTTTTTTTTTTTTTGGAGACAGAGTCTCACTCTGTCGCCCAGGCTGGAGTGCTGTGGCATGACCTCAGCTCACTGCAACCTCCACCACCTCCTGGGTTCAAATAATTCTCCTGCACCCGAGTAGCTGGGACTACAGAGATGCATCACCATGCCTGGCTGATTTTTGTATTTTTAGTAGAAACGGGGTTTCACCATGTTGGCCGGGCTGGTGTCGAACCCCTGACCTCAGGTAATCCACCTGCCTCAGCCTCCCAAAGTGAAGTGCTGGGATTATAGGCGTGAGCCACTATGCCTGCCCACTTTTCCCTTTCTCAAAAGTTAAATGTATTTGTTTTAAAAGGAACCTTTCATAAACTCTATTGTAAACAGAAAACCAGCGTTGCTTGTTGTAAGTAGAAAAATAACAGTAAAAAATAAATACAATAAAAAGATCAGTTGCTACTACAGTAGCTAATGGTCTGAGCATGAGGCTGTTTTCCTCTGTTAAATTGGGAGACGAGCAGATGAT